GCCAGGCTGCGTCTAGACTGGCATGATTTTGCGCATATACTTTTAACGGAAAAGTTTTTCCGTTTAAAGTATTTCCGCAAGAGCGTCTAGATTGGCATGGATGCTTTTGCGCAAAAGCATCTGTGCCCAGTATAGACGCGCTTTTGCACAAGAAAGCTCCGATGGCCATTTACACTGGCCCTCTTGCACAAGTATTGTTGCACAAGAGGGCTTATCCCTGAGCGGGAGCATCAAAGTATTTGCACAAGAAGCACTGAATTCTTACATTAGAACATCAGTGCCTTTGCGCAAATTCAAGTGGCCAGTGTAGACAGCTGGCAAGTTTTTGCACAAAAGCGGCCACTTTTGCACAAAATCTTGCCAGTCTAGACACACCCCCAGGGTAGTAGAAGGCAATAGGTCCCTTCCCCCTTGCCTAGGATGAGTGGCCATTGCAGACTGCAGTTTGCCCCTGGAGGAGGAGCTAGAGGATGACTGGCAGGGGGTCACTGAGGCAAGGTGGGTCTAGGGGACTTGGGAGGAGAGGACCCCAGACTGCAGGGGCATGGACAGAGGGCAGTACTAGGAGGAAAGGGCACTGTGGGCAGGAAGGGACGCAGGGCCAAAAGGCAGACCTGTGACAGAGGCTGAGACCAGCAGAGGGCACTCTTGAGGCAAGGCAGCTGATTCATCAAGTGACCAGCAGGAGGCGCCAGGGCAGTGAGTGTCTCCCCCATGACACCCAGGCACGGAGCACTTGTAGCATGTTGAGGATTTACTCGCCCCAGCTTCTCCATCTACACTGTGACCAGCAGAACCACCCAATCCCTCCCGTGCCTGCCCTTCCAAAGCCCCCAGCCCAGCACCGTCACCTGGTAGAGTTTGAAGAGGTTCCCCCCCTCGGAGGGCAGGAAGCCCGTCTCGGTGTGGTACCGCAGGATGGACCTGGTCTTCCACTCCTTCAGGGGCGTCTTGTTGGCCACGTGCCACACGGACAGGTCCTTGGCTTGCAGATCGTAATAACCCGGGTTCTGAAAAGTAAGGACCCTGCTAAAACCTCTCAGTCACATCCCGGGTATTAACCCAGCAACCACCCAAATCACCAGCTGTGGTGTATTTATTCTGACCCCCGCCCCACTGATCACAGAAGCTCCATCCCCATTGTACAGGGGGCAAGTGAGGCACAGAGATTAAGTGACTTGCCCTAGTTTACTCAGGTAGCTTGTGGCAGGACAGGGAATGGATCTCAGGGATGCTGCTGCCTTGACTACTAGACCCTCTCTCCCATCTAACCCCTGTGCTGCGGTGGGAAACCTAAGGCCCGGAGGTCAGATACAGCCCCCGCCTTGCCTGAATCTGGCCCCAGAAGCTAAGGGCTCCACCCCCAGAATTCAGGTGCCCACACTGGCACGCCAGCCCTTCCCCCTTTCTTTCCCCCACTGTGGGGCTGGAGCACACTAGCCCGGGCTGCCCTAGGCTCTGGTGTGCGAGGGGAATATGGGGAGTGTCTTTCTCCTTCTCAGTTGGGGGCCACGTCAATGCGGTTTTGTTTTTATTTTTCTGGTTCTCACTTGTGTGCAGCCCCCAAGTGATTTTGATGTGGCTCAGCGGCCCCAGCCCAAAAAAGGTTCCAGACCCCTTGCCCTATGCCCACGTCCCCCACCGGCCCACGAGCATTCAACCACATTCTGAGGCACCCTCTCCCCAGCCGTGGCCATGGGGATGGGGACCCCACCTTGTAGTCGTCGCTGGTGGCGCCCACCGCGGAGCCGAAGGTGTTGTAATTGGCCCAGTTGCCGTCTCCCTCGGGGTAGTTGGCGTTGCTCCCCTGCTGGCTGGACCAGCGGTCGCCCTCCGTGCACTTCCCGTAGATGTTGTTCTCGTGCACGCTGGCCACCAGGGTCCAGCCGCCCCCATTGGTGGTCATGTCACAGAAGGTCTGGTAGGTCTCGCCATCCTTGGTGCGCAGGGTGTAAATCCCATCTGTGGGGGGTCGGGGGAAAGCGGGCAGCACCAAGCTGGTCATCCAGGGCCAGGGAAAGGGGAAGGGCCCTCTCAGAGCCACCCAGCCTGGACAACAGCTGGTGCTGAGGGGCTCAACCCTAAAAAGAGGACTTACAACCTCTGCCCTGACTCCTGTCTGAGCCCTCAAACCGGGGTCTGTCAGGGTGGGGGAGGACGGAAATTTTGAGAGAAAATCTCTGAAATTCTCTGCCAGGACAATCAGCCAGACCCTGGCAAGATTTTCTCTGCCAGCAGCTGCTGGGCCTGGGCCCAAGCAGCCGGGCGCTGGCCCAGAGCTGAGGTTTTGAGTTGCTCCTGCCACAGGCAGGGCCCCCCTCACACGGCTTTGTGG